GGGACACAAATAGCAGCAGCTGGGAGGTTTGAACTCTCTGGACATTTAAATGTAGGTCAACACGACTCATCCGCTCAGGTAAACAGCCGATACAACCCGGAGAAACGTCATTTAGCAGCAGGTAGATGACATAAACGTGGTTGAAACGTGAGTAATAACATCTCTGTAATGCCACGTCAAAACACCGGCAGTTAACGGCTAGTTAGCCTGTTAGCTTGGCAGCAGTTATCCGCGCTCATTTCCGCTTCTTCACGTAAAACACGGAACAGTTCGCAGTCAGACCAGAATAAAATATTCCTATTTTAACAGTAAACCACTGACCTGAGGTTGAACCCCCGCCATGGCCTCACCCTGTCCGCTCCTGGCGAAGACCAGCCGGCCGGCGGCGTTAGCGGCTCCGAGCCGAGTGTACGCGACGCCGTGAGGGACAATACGCACAACTTCGCATTTTTAAAATACTATTCCTAAAGAAGCAAGTTGAATATAAATTTTAAACCAGATTTTACACTAGTAAAGCTTTCCATACGGAAGATTAGGGCATCTGAAAAAGTATTTTTTTAATGATTAAAAGCATCAATGTTTGATGAAGTTTTATAATAAAACGAGGCAAGCAGCAGCTTTTTTCTCCATCATTAAATAAACTTCTGGTGACTTTATGACTTGTGCCTGTTAATATAGAGTCTTCATTCTGCCTGTATGACTATTTTCATGTTTACTTTATTCTTGGAATATAAAACAAATCTTAGTCTGACCCGATTAACTATCACACCGGTCATGAAAGAAAAGTATTTCTAGCAGAAGTTATATTTTTATTTTGCATACAGATCTATAAATGTCACTCATCCAGAAAATAAATCTTTAGAAAGTGTAACAAGCCATCAGCCAAAACCTTAATAGCCCAGTTGGTTGAAATCTAAAAAATTTACATATAAAAAAAAAATATTGTCATTTAGTTCCATTAAAAAATAATCAAAACATTTTTCAGGCCTTTGTTTCATGTTAAAGTTAAATCCAGATGAATGACAGCAGAAACAAAACACTTTCATCAGTTTAACTTTCAGACTTTATTAATAAATTGCAAAACAATCAAAGGGACCAGCAGCAGTCGTCCTCACCGAATCCGTCCATCTGAGGGAAGAAGAGAGGAAAACGTAAGAAAAATACGGATTTGATTAAATTGTTGCAAGCAGAAGTAAAGTCGCTCAGACATCCAAGGAAGGTATGAACCATCTTCGGTCTTTAGACCTCTGGAGGAAACTGCGAATGGATGGAATATACGTCATCACAGCGACTCAAAATAAAGTAAATATAAACCTGAACGTACCATCAGCTGCATGAGGTCTGGAACCACTGGAGACGACCCAGCAGGTTGCAACGTTTCACCACCTGGAAGAGGAAACGTCTGGTTAGCGCTTTAATTATATTGTAGACGGAACAAGAAGTGGAAATCTGCCCTCCATTGTGCTGCTTTTCAGCAATATATCAGAAAACGATTCATTTCTACTCTGCTCTCCTTTAAACTGAGTCAGTCTGAAAAGCAGCATGTCGCGCTGCGATCCTCTGGCAGGAGCAGACCAGCTGCTGGAACGGTCCGAGTCAGACATGTTGGACCAGAATCAGGACAACTCAATTTTATACAGACGAGGTTTAGGATCACTAAAAAATATTTAAAAAAAGTATTTGACAAAAGTGACATTTATGGGTCATAATTCTAAAAAAATTGATATTAACTGCCAATAAATTCTGTTTGAATTAGACTGAACCGATCAGATCTCACTGACAAACCGGAGCAGGAACATCAGAGGCCAGCAGAAAGGTTGGACTGGACCTCACTACACAACAGATCAGCTATACACTGATTTAGTTCAGGACCAACTAATCTCTTAAATGATCAAACAGATTAATTTGTTTTCGCTCAGACATCCAAGGAAGGAATGAACCATCTCTGGTCTTTCAACCTCTGGTGGAAACTGCGAACGGATGGAATATACGTCATCATAGCGAACAGACCTGGTCCATCACGACACCCGTCAAAACGGCTCGAAAAAATGAATTAAGACGTCAGGTACCAACCTGCATGCCTCCAATACTGAAAGGCCTTCCTGCAGAAACTCCTCTACCTGAAACAAGAAGCAAAAAGATTTAAAGCAAAGGATGGAAAAATAAATAATCAATAAGGTTATAGTTTAGGGTCGCTCAGACATCCAAGGAAGATTTGGCCATCTTCGGTCATATAAGACCTCTGGTGGAAACTACGAATGGCAGGAAAATCGTCATCACAGCGACCAGAACAGGTTGAACATGAACTGAACCAAACGTACCAGTTAGATGAGCGGAGAAAACCCAGCAGCTTCATCGTTTGGCAAGAAAATCACCAGGAAGACATTCAGCCTGTCAACAGATTCATACGATTCATTTTCAACTGTAATCCAAGGAAGGTTTAGATTGAAAATATTATTCTAATACTCAGAACCAACAGCACTGTCACATTAAAACACCCATTTTCTAGCAACTAATGATAATTTAGGCAAACAAATTTGAGGTTTTAATTTTATAAGAATTTAAAACAGGGACCACTCTAATGCCAGTTCAAGATCTAGGAAAGTTTCTGCTTTGAAAAATTTTTTAAATCATCCCCCTAAAATCACACCAAGTCACCAGCATTTATTGCTTTCTCACATGGTTGCACAAAACTTGCCTTTGACAGAAGGTCAGAGCCCCGTTTTAACAAATACTGTTCCAACTGACATCCATATTACAATTATAATTGTTTTACATTTTCAGTGGTTTTCAGGAGGCCATGCTTAAAGGTTTCCTTTATCTAGATGGAAAATAAATAATCAATAAGGTTATAATGATGGTTTAGGGTCGCTCAGACATCCAAGGAAGATTTGGCCATCTTCGGTCATTAAGACCTCTGGTGGAAACTACGAATGGCAGGAAAATCGTCATCACAGCGCAGGAAGTGAATGCAGCCAGTTTATTATGATATATAATTTACCTGAAAACTCAGGTTTGATTAAACTTTTATGTGATTATCCTTAAAATAAATTTAATTTATTTTATAAAACTTAGTTTTTATAGGCAGAATTTCTCTCCATATTTCAGATTTAACCATAAACAAACGGATCTTATATCATCAATACTCTACCTGAGGAGATTCTCGCCTTTCTTCTTCTCCTTAATATATCGGTAAAGGTCAACCGAGCCTCTACGGTGGCTGGGAGGACCATTTTCTGTCCAACCAGCAGAACCCTGTGGAAACAGTTGCAGTCAGAAAGGAACCAGAACAAATGTTTACTGTTACTGGTGAGAACAGTAAACGCTCAGACATCCAAGGAAGATTTTGCCATCTTCGGTCATTAAGACCTCTGGTGGAAACTACGAATGGCAGGAAAATCGTCATCACAGCGCAGGAAGTGAATGCAGCCAGGATCACCTGGAGGAGACTCACCTGGTCTGAGCTGCTGCTGCTGGTTCAACGCTAGAAACGCATCAACCCTGCAAAAAAGAGGAGAAATAAACCAAATTTGAGCAAAATGGATGAGGAACATTTAGTCTGGTTTCTCACAGGAAACATTTTATAAGGTTTTGCTACATTTTATTTAAATGATGTTAAATGTAGCCACAAAAACATTTAAGCAATAATAAATCATGTCATTTTACTACAATAGGCACTTCATAATGAACACAATTAACTCTTCAACACATGTTCAGTAAATTAAACTATTATTGTAATAATCTAAACATGTTAAATCTACAGATATTATATAATTATACAGGCTGAAGCCAAAGAAACACGGAAAAAATACAAATAAATAACTTTACAAAATAATTATGTCACTTTATCGGTAAAACGCAATGAATTAAAAGCAAATTCATCACTTTAATCCCAGAAAGTATCGTGAAATGAGCTCGAGATGCGTCACAACGTGGAGGCGAAAGTTTGCGACAGAAATCAGCGACAAACAATCCAACTCCATCCACCAAATAAAGTCACCATCTCGTCTTCTCGTTAGTAGATAAAGATTAAACGTAGCACATCTAAACAGACTGATGTTAAATTATACCTTTTAATCTATGAGACAAACACAAAACTCAGCAGTAAAGACGAAGTTACCTGCTCCTCTCGCCCACTGTGGCAAAATGACCGAAGCGAAGTTCCGTCTCTGCTTAAATACGTCACGGTGCACGGGCGCCGCCTGCCGGACGGGAGGTGAACTGGAAAAAAGAAAATTTATTGCAGTTTAGATTTATTTCTTTTTTCTTCTTCTTTTTTAAATAAAGAACAAAAATACTGAGGAAAGTTCTAGATATTTATTCAAGTCAGGTTAAATCAAATGTTTATATAAATACATATTGTAAGCAAAATACTTTATATATTTTCCGCTTTTATATTTTAGTTTTTCTAAATAGCTTTCCTTGTGTTTTATGAACTCAAGTCTGAGTGAAAATTGGATTGATAATGATTTTTTTTTAAAAAAGCTGATTTTTATGTCTGTTAAATGCATTTTCACACACTGAAGTATTTTTCATTATCTAAAAATATTTCCAGCAGCTATTGAACACCAGAGTGTTTATGTTTTTAATCAATCTGAAAATCTGTTTTCTTTTAAAATTTTAATTCTTGAAAGTAATTAGGCCTATTGTATTTTTATCCTTCCCTGCTTGGGTTTCTCAGATTTTATTTTTTGTTTTATCAGTAGTAGTACTTTAAAACTACTGTTCTCTGTTTTTTAAAATCATAATATATTATATAATGTTCTTGCTATACATAGCATACCATCTATATCTGCACAAAAAGAGAGAGAAATCTTGTGACTATTGCAGGTCAAGAGACACTAAAATGAATAGAGTGTCATTGAGAAAGAGAGTATGTGGACATATGGACCAATCCCCTCTCTCCTTTTCCCTCCATCTAGCTCCTGATTGGATGCTCAAAGTGCATATTATTTGTGTCCCCTCATCCTCCACCCATCCTCCTCCTCACCCTCCTCGTCCTCTTCCTCGCTGGTGGTTGTTGCTGCTGCAAGCTGCTGGTGTTGCTGTGACGATGATATCCTCCCCCTCTTACACACACATACACACACAGACTAGGAGGAGAGGAGAGAAGAGGCAGCAAACAAGACAGTTTCATGACGCGATGGCTGCAGGCTGGAAAGCAGACGCTCCCACTGATGGCCTGGAAAACAGGGTGAGAGCTGGATGCATTTCCTGGGGACAGAAGGATGGATGGATGGAAAGGTGGAGGGGTGGATGAGTGATCGATGGGTGGAGGAATGTTTGATGGTGACAGCAGCAGCTGTAGCATGCCTCAGAGAGGGGGATGATGCAGAAAGGACTGCATGATGGGATCTGGGATGGAGGAAATGAGGATGGACCGACTGAATGCAGTGACCAGCTATCTGTGGATAAATAATCAGTTATCTGTGAGTGTGTGTGTGTGTGTGTGTGTGCGTGTGTGTTTGGTGTGTGTGTGTGTGTGTGCTGTCAGGCCTGCATGCACATGCTAGCATCCTGTCTGCTAACAGAAACAGAAGGTACGTCACTTCTCTGAAGTGAAACTGAGCGACATATTCTGTTTATAGGACCATGCAGTTCCTGCAGAATTCAAATGGATCAGTGATCAGATGCAACCGATCAACTGATCAGTAAAAAAAAAAAGATGCTTAAAGCTGGAAAATCCAGTTGAGTGAGAGAAAATGGATGCAAAACAAGTGCAAATAGAAAAACACGGCTGAAAATATCACTAAAAATATGCAAATATTAACTTAAAGAGGAAAATATAACGTATCATAAATTCAACAATAATTGGATTTAGGAAGAGATGCAGAAGAAAAGACAAATCAATTCAAAATAAAGTCCATAAAGCCGAACAAGAGCTTCATAAATAGACTCGGATTGATTTCTAAAAGGCATTTGATGCATAAATGTTAAAATGACAGAATAGTTGGACCAAAAACTCTGAATCAAAAGTTGTTATAAGAAGATAAGAACAAGCAAACAAGTAAAAAGAAAACTTGTAGTAGAAATAGAATCAAATCGACTAGAAAGAGACAAAACACTTGAAACACAGCAATGAAAATATTGCTAAAAGATACAAAAATGGCAACAAATAATACAAAGCAACTTTAAAAACAGACATCTGTATAAAAAACTGCAATATTGTTAATTATTTTCTTTTTATCATGTGGATTTATAAAATGAATGTTACAGATTGGCTTTCATTTTGAAGTGTCAGATTATTTCACTGCATTTCTTCCAGATTTTTACCATCAGCTACAAAAGATTATCAATAAAAAACAAAACACATTAGTTCAGCCAACATGAGAGACCATTTTTATTGCCACAGAGTAAAATTATTAACCTCTTTCTGAATCCCACACACTGATATTCTAAAAACACTACAGAGACGCTGGGACACTTCAACACTTACAGTAGAAAATGAAGCTTCTTATTGATTTCACCCAGAAAGGGAGGAGAGGGAGAGTATGTGTGGGACCAGAACGTGATGAATGAGTGATTACAACACAGAAAAACAGAAAGTGGACAAGAACATTCCCGTGGGAACGTCAGAGGAGACGGATCAGATGAACCCAGTGTGTGTGTGTGTGTGTGGTGTGTGTTTTTGTGTGTGTGTGTGTGTGTGTGTGTGTGTGTGTGTGTGTTGTGTTTTCTTTGTCTGATTGGCACCGGTTTGTTGATTTATGGACTTGCTACCAGCAGGTTTCCCTGAAATTAGTTTTTATTGAGCTTTGCAATCAGGTGATGGAGCCTCGTCTGCTGATCCAGACGGATTTAAGCAGTTTTTCAATTAACTGAGTTCTGGTTCGACAGACGAAGCTCATTCAGTCGTGAATGAACTGAATCGCAGCAAAAACCCTGAACTCAGAGATTAACCCCATATCAGAAGGAGAAAGTATTTTCCTTTTTACTTGTTATGAGGGGTCCCTCAGGGCTCTGTTTCAGTCCCCTTTTATCTCATTCCAGAAATTTACTCAATCAATTCCTGACATTTAATTGAACAGAAATGACCTTTCCTCACGGGAAAAGGTCTCGTCCATCAGCCTGTTGCTGATTCGGTGAGATTTATGTGATAATCAAGCCAGTATGAAGGTGAAACAATTTAACGGAAATGTCAGAGCCTGGTTTAATGTAACGAATGAAACGCACATCGTCCATCGGACGTGGATGGACTTCATGTTTAGCTTTTGAAATCAAACGCTGACCTGAAACACAAACTTGTGGAACTGATTTGTTCGACTTAAATCTGACATCAGCTCTAAATCCAAGACTTCAGATGTGACGTTTGGTACCAAACTTCTCAAATTCTGAGTTTTTATGCTTCTTGTAGGAGATAATGTCGCCATGATAAAGAGGCTCAAAGCGTCTCATTCTGAGTTAAACCTTTTAAACTCTCATTTAGAATAAAACAGCCACAATTTAGTACTAAGAGTTATAAATTTCCCTGTCTAATTTTGTATTTATGTGAATAGATGTCTTAATAAATAGCCTTAATAAATAAATTAGAGTATTTAATGATTGTTCTGCTTCACTGTTGTACGCTAAGAGCATCTGGAATCATGTCTGGTTGCAGAACAGAGGATTATGCTTTTATGCTTGTGTGGACACTTGAAATCCATCTTATCTTTTTCTGTGTCACTAATAAACAAAAGCTCTTACGACAGGCTGGTTGTAGAGTGCTGCCTCTGCAGATGTGAGCTTTATGTGTGTGTGTGTTGCAGACCTGAAAACCTCCATCTGATTGTGTTTTCATGAGTTTTATCAGTGAGAGTCAGCTGCTCTGAGGCCTCTCCTCAGATTAGACAACTATTGTCCTGTTGCCACGTTGGTTGGTTTGTTTGGTGATCCTTTTGTTGAGCGTCCTCAGCTTCGGTCCAGTAGGTTTCCCATCCTTTAAATGGTGTGTCTAATTGCTTTTAGTCAAAGCAATGACAATCATATTTATAGGCGTACCCATCTAGAGACACCAGATGACTGGATAGATATATGACAGCTGCAGGAAGAAAATGAGCCAGTCTGTGCAGCAAAGAAGAATTCAACACTAGCTTAAAGGAGAACTTGTTGCAACCAAAGCATGCAGAATCCATCCCTATAGTCATGACATTGAAGCACAAAAGGTTACGGTTCACTCAGATTCTTCAAAACTTTAAATCATTTCATAAAAATGCTGAAACATTTTCTGGAGCATTAAACAATCAGCTCCTCTCAAACATCCAAAACAAGAAGGGCTTGAATTGTCTGCAGAACCGTAACAGCCACAGACCGTCACCAGACACACAACCCACTGCGAGAGAGCGTCCCAGAATCCTTTGCTGCATTGTAACATCAGAGCATCAGTGAATGGAGATGTGGGGGTGTGCATCCTGAAGACTTCAGAGGAATCCTTCTGCGGTACGATGTGTGTGTGTGTGTGTGTGTGTGTGTGTGTGTGTGTGTGTGTGTGTGTGTGTGTGTGTGTGTGTGTGTGTGTGTGTGTGTGTGCGTGCGTGCGTGCGTGTGTGTGTGTGTGTGTGTGTGTGTGTGTGTGTGTGTGTGTGTGTGTGTGTGTGTGTGTGTGTGTGCGTGTGTGTGTGTGTTGCAGACGTTAGGAGTGGGTTTGTCTGCAGGAGGCTGATCAGAACATCTCAGGGGACGGAGGCCTTTGAACTGGATTACAAGGAAAACCACTGCAACCCCTCCCCTCTCTGAATTATTCACCAGAACATTGGGCCTCGTGTTTTTAAAAACACTGGAACAGAAATTGCTTGGCTGGCAGAAAAACGATCAACAGTCAGATCTTAGGAATCAAACCTGGTTAGTGAAAGTTGTTACCTGCAGTTTCCTGCTGCTGAGATTCATATTTGAGACATATTTTCCCATTAGAGATTTGATCTCCTCCTGACTGAGGACCAGACAGATTTCTTGTTCACACCTAACCGCCGCCATCATCATCACAACGTGTGCATCGCTGATGCAGAGGGAGCCGGCGACCCAGAATGCTCTGCATCGTCAGTGTGAACCCATTCACATGCTGGAGGATAAATATAGGGTCCTGGGGATTAAAGAACCCGTCGCTGCTTCACATTTTTCTTCTATTTCTTCTCGTTGGTTGGTGTCACCGCACCCCCACTCGCTCTGTGCAGTCTGTTACCAGGGAAACCCCCACCTTTCTCCATCACTTTGACGTCTGTTTGGTGACCTACATTAAAAGCTCTTCATTAGGTTTTGACTTTACAAGGTTGTTCTGAGGATGGTAGCATGGCAGAGGCTTTCCCTGATCTGTGGAGCGAACAGTTTAGTGGAACTAATTCAGAAGAAGAGAAACCGTGATTGAAGCCGATTGAAATCAATAAATCCCACAGATAGTGAGAGCAAGCCAGCCATCCATCATCCACACCTGCTGGTGTTCGTCTCACAGAATCGCCGTCGTGTTTTTGGACAGAGGAAAGAAAACAGAAGACTTGGAGAGAACCCAGAACACTGCAAACAAGCTTTTTATAGGGAAACGTTTGCAAACAGACATCAGATTAAAAACAATTTGATGTCTGGAAACAACAATGAAGTGTCGTTGCTTTTATTCAACTTCACATCAGTTTCTCCCTTTGCCAACTTAAACCGCGGATTTTATAACCTAAAGTTTCCATTTTGGCCTTTTTCCTCTACTTTGTGCCTGTGTGATTAAACCTTCACTTTATTTATCACCTTAAATAACTGTGAAAATATTATATAGTTTATTGTATCTGAAGTTGTGATCCTTGTTTGGTCCATCCTGGTGATAGATTACTAATCATAATCATAACTATTTTACCCGGCAACAGATGATGAGTAAAAGGTGGAAAACTTCTGTAAAGGAGGATATTGAAGGATTTCAGTTCTTCAGATTTAAATGATCAAGTCAAAAATATTAATGAATCAAGAGAGCAGAGACTCAGGCATTAGTACACTGCCACCTGGTGGTGGTTTGCAGAACTACAGAAAGCAGCTCAACCTTCATCCTTATTCAATGGAAACCTCACAGCTGCCCCCTGCTGCGGCCTGCAGAGGAGACATTGTGGTGATAGTGGGACTGGAGATTATCTGCAGAACTGAATAAAATATAAAACTAATTTTGTGTTGCATTGTTTACCCTGTGTCTGCTGGCATGATAACAGATCAGAACACAAAGGACTGAATTATTCCTTATCATCAGTGACAACCTGCTGGTGTCACTGATTTTATAAGTTGTGCAAATGAAAGCATGTGGTCAAGATTTGAATGACTTCTTTCCATCTTAATCTTTAACTCCTAACATTCTTTTCTATTTTTCTCCTGCAGGAATCAGTGGATTCATCCTCAGTGCTCTCCAAATAAAATCAGTTCAACTGAATACAGTTAAATTACTCCTGAAGGGAAACTATCTGCCTCTCACCTTCTTCTTTTTGGTGTTTCAATGGATAAATAACCATCTGGAATGTGGGACAGAAGACTCTCAGATCTACAGAAGAATAACGTTAATGTGGATTATTGACTAAAACCCATCAAATCTAAGATCAGTGCAGATCTTTTTTATATTCAGAATGTGCCAACAGTTTCTACTGGAGTGTTTTTCTCATTTTTCCTGAATGTCCAATGGAGTGAAAAACAAACAGAGTCGGGAGAAAGAACCTGTTAGAAACCAAAGCAACAAACCCTCTGCTTGATCGTAAAGCGTCTTCCCCTGGCTGCGGTGAGGAAGGAGGGGTGTGTTTGGAGGTTCCCCCCCAGCAGGCTGCCGCGCGCAGATGGAGGCCCACCAACACTCCCCAGATAGCAGCAGTGAGGAGTGCACCGTCCTGGAGGCCGCGCCCAGCAAGAACAGCTGCCTGCAGCATGCAGGGAAGGTCAGAACGCCTCCGAGTTCACATCACATTACTAACACATGAACCAAACAGGACAATAAAATGACAAAATGTAAAAAATTAGAACAGGAAGTGAATAAGAACATTAAACAGAATATTTAAATACAGCTGTATTTACATCAGAGCTTAATAAAATGTATACTTAATATGTAAAATATGTTAAATAGATATAAAGTGAACAATTATATTAAATGAATGCAAGTATTAATCCTAATGGCACCAAATGAATATAAATAGTAATTTATGGATGATGCTACAGATGTAAGAAGGGTGGGTGAAAAACAAGCAGTTCACTCTTCTACCCACTCTGAACGTATAAAAATACTTCACTGTGTTTGTTTTAAATTTATTTTATTTGTATATAACTTTGTTTATTGTTACACTAAGTCCAATAAAGTCAAACTATGACTTTTGTGACTAAATTTCTCTCCATTAAAGGTGAGCAACCTGATTAGGATGATTCAAACTCTCACCTTGACTCTTAAAGGGGCAGTTCTATGTATTTTTTATGTTGCCTTTTTATAGCACAATCAAATAACTATAGTCCATTCAGTTATTATAAAAATGCAATTTGTATACCAAACATGACTTAATTTTTCTTATTTTGCCTTGAAATTGAACCTTTGTCTCTTTAAGAAGCTCCTGCTCTTTTCAACACAAAAAAAGCAACTTTACATAAAAACTCCCTTTAAATCAGGCCTCCCTATAGTTATGATCTATTTGAGCTTGAGTCTGAAAAATAATCTAAAAAGCAGAAATTTGATGGGATTATGATAGTTAATTCATCTCCATGTCCGCCTGCAGGTGGCTGACCTGTACTGCTCGGCCTGTGAGTGTGCCCTGTGTGAGGACTGCTTACCGGCCCATGAGGATCACCCCACGGTGGCGCTCAGCCAGGCCCTGGAGCAGCACCGGAGCCGGCTGCAGGAGAGACTCGGGGCGGTCCAGAGCAGGTACCAGCAGAGAACCCCAAAGACCACACACGGACATTTATATGCTAATAGTTTAAAATATGAAAAGGAGAGAACATAAATGAAGTACAGCAAGTGTAGGGGTGACCAGTAGGTGGCATCTTGCATGTTTTAGCTCTCTCCCTGGTTGTTAGCACGCCTCTGGTGTTGGTAACTATCACCAGAGAGAGAACTAAAACATGCAGCATTCTGGCCCTGCAGGACTGATGCTGCATTCCAGTTGTACTCATAGATGCTAAATTCTGATTTTCCAGTCAAAAAAATCAACTGGAACGCCCTACAAACTGGGAAATTGGAGCAACCCCAACTTCCCCCAGTTATGACTTGTGAGGCTGACTTTGCTCTTCAGTATCGCTGCTCCACACATCAAGATGTGGTGGAAACATGTTTATTTTACTAGACACACATGTAAAAGTGAGTCTAAAATCACTGTTAAATGTATCGTCTGCAACTCTGAGCTGAACTAATGAAAAGAGATGTTTGCTGATGGAAATGAAAGATTAAAATGATGTTTGTAAGAGTTATTGCAAACAATGTTGAGAACATCGCAATACTGAAATTCCAAGTTCTTAATTAGAACTCTTTTAGCTTGAATCAGATGTCAAAGTTCCCACTTCCCATGAAACTGGAACACAGCATGGTTTTGGACTAAAGACACAGCATTTGTAAACGGGAAAACACTGACATCTGGTGGCCGTGTGGGGAAACACAACATGAAGGGCACAAGATTTAAGTATTGGCTGATAAGTATGAAATGATCCTTTTCCCTCCTCCTCTGCAGACTGCCCCAGATTTCAGATGCTCTGTCCTTCGTTACGGAGATTCTGCAGCAGCTGAACAACCAGAGAGCTTCCATCGAAGAGGACATCCAGTCCAGCTTCGAGGACCTGCACAAGCAGCTGGACGTTCGGAAGAGCGTCCTTCTCATGGAGCTCGAAGTCACATATGGGCTCAAACAAAAGGTGCAGACAGATAAAACAGAGTGCATTTGCCAGTCATTTGGACTGTGCTCTGACTTTGCAGGAAGAGAAACTTGGAAGTATTGAAGAATGATCTATCTGTCTTTAGGTCCTCCAAGCCCAGATAGACAACCTCACACGTGGAGACGGGGACATCACGTCCACCTGCACCCGGACGGAGGAAGCTCTGGCTGAGGAGGCGAGCGTGGCCACGCTGGAGGTGGAGCATGAGCTGGAGGAGAGGCTCAAGGAGATGGCTATTCTGAGAATGCCATGCCAGCCAGAGGAGAACGACCAGCTGGACCTGGTGATGGAGACAGACGGGCTGAGGAAGTCCATTCACAACCTGGGGACCATAGTTACAACCAGGTGACGAAACAAACAGAAAATACAACAAAACGCTGATTCTTCTGTATCTAACCCTTATTTTCTTCCTCAGCGCTGTGGCAAGTCAGAGTGAAGCCATGGGCACCGGCTTGGAGCAGTGCATTGTGGGACATCCTGCTTCAGTTACTATAGTAACAAGAGACAAGTCAGGGGGAGCCTGCAAGAGTGGAAATGCCATCTTATCAGCTGAGGTTTGTTTCAGAGAAATATAAACAGAATCAGAGGAAAAATCTCAGCACATCTCTACTGGATTTAAAGAGACTGAGTGAAATACTGAATTATTTGAACTAATAAATAATAAAACTCCTTGTTTGCTGGTGTCACATAATGATAGCAACTGCAAAGGCATAAATCAATCTACAAATTAACTGCATTTCTTGATTCATTAATTCATTCATTCAGAAAATTCAATAAAACGTGTGCTGATGCAGGTATTCACCCCCGACGGCAGCATTGTTGACGGTGAGATCCTGGACCACAAGAACGGAACATATGAGTTCGTCTACACGGTGCCCAAGGAGGGCAACTTCTCTCTGGCCCTCCGTCTGTACGACCAGCACATCAAAGGAAGCCCCTTCAAACTGACCGTCACCAAGGCGACCGAGGTCGAGGTCGAGGTGGGTCGGCTAACCCATGTGGACCTTTACGATGTAGGATCAGTGGTTTATAGAAATTTTGTAACTTTGGTAAAGTATGAATACTTCTCTGTGGGATTTCTAGGTGTCTCCATCCACCACCACAGCAACCAACTCAGCAGCCAATGCCACCCCGTCCACAGGCTCCTCTGACGGGACAAAGAGACGAGGAAAGTCCCCGGGTCAGAAGAAGAAAGGTTCCAAGAGGGCCAGCAGCGCTCTGGGAACCCCACGACGAAAAACTCAGAATCCCATCGAGGACGACCTCATCTTCAAGATCGGTGAGAAAACCTGAAACAATTTCCTCTTGAACATAACATCTGGGCCACCAACCTGAATGATAGACGTGCTCAAAGGAGCTAAATAAGTTGGCGATGCGTGGTTCACAGACTCAGGAGGCGATGACTAAATATAATTAGCATGGCAATGGACAACATCTTTGTCTTTAATATGTTCTTCTCTTTTACAGGAACTAAGGGTAGAAATAAGGGTGAGTTCACCAACCTTCAAGGAGTGGCTGCCTCTTCTAGCGGTAGGATTCTGATAGCTGACAGCAACAATCAGTGTGTCCAGGTATACTTCAGTTCATCCAGTCTTGACATCTCACAAAGGTAAATTGAATGAAACCTAAGTTTCGGGTTGCATACTCAGAAATTGATTTGATCATCAGATTTTCTCCAACGAGGGTGAGTTTAAGAGTCGTTTTGGGGTGCGTGGGCGATCTCCTGGCCAGCTGCAGCGGCCAACCGGGGTCGCGGTGCACCCGAGCGGTGACATCATCATTGCTGACTATGATAACAAATGGGTTAGCATCTTCACGTGCGAGGGCAAGTTCAAGGTAAGCTGTTCAGTTCCTCAGTACTGACATTTCTTTCCCATCATGGCTGGTTAGGCAGTTTTTGGACTTAACTGGTACATCTGCTGTATCCAAGGCGAAACTGGGCTCAGGGAGACTCATGGGGCCAAAAGGCGTGTCTGTGGACCAAAATGGTCATGTGATTGTAGTCGACAACAAGGCGTGTACAGTCTTCATCTTCCAGCTAACCGGCAAGCTAATTGCTAAGTTTGGGAGTCGGGGAAATGGTGACAAGCAGTTTGCAGGTAAGCTGGATTCTCCATTGAACTGCTGAGTACATTAAAATCTGTTAGACTCCTCTAAAACTTAGTATGTGTGAAGTTTACTTTAATTGTTCAGTTCTACACACCTTGTACGACAGTGCTGGTGAGCAGCCTTCACTTGAAGCTTTTAATCTTTTGGCTAATCCTTTAATAAAGGGAAGACATTTTGATAAAACATCTGATTGCTTCCTTGTTCTCGTCTTGAAGGTCCACACTTTGCAGCAGTGAACAAGAATAATGAGATCATCGTGACAGACTTCCATAACCACTCTGTCAAGGTACGCAACCAATTACATTCACCCTCTTGCTTTTAATAGAGTCCAATCAATCACTGAACATAATCTGATATCTTTGTGCTGTCAGGTTTTTACCACTGAGGGAGAGCTGGTGTTGAAGTTCGGCTCAAATGGGGAAGGAAACGGCCAGTTCAACGCTCCCACTGGTGTAGCTGTGGATGTAAATGGGAACATCATTGTAGCTGATTGGGGCAACAGCAGAATCCAAGTAAAGCACTGATTTATGGCATTTATGCTGCATTTTAGCAACAAACCCCAGTTATATTTCTCATTTTCACTGGACTTTCTCAGGTTTTTGATGGCAGTGGCTCCTTCCTGTCCTACATAAACACATCAGCAGACCCACTGTACGGCCCGCAAGGCCTGGCACTGACCTCGGACGGCCATGTGGTGGTCGCCGACTCTGGTAACCATTGCTTCAAGGTCTACCGCTACCTACAATGATAAAGACTAGTGAAGAAGTAGGAGAGGAGAACAAGGAGGGCAGTGGTGAGAGGAAAGCTGAAGCTCACAATGTTTAACTCCATCTATCCATTGCATGAACTTGTCCTGATGGATTAACTGAAGGAAAGAAATGCCAAGGAAAACGTTCGGCCGCTGTCCTTACGTGACCTGAACTTCAGAGGAGACGTCTAACCTCAGTGACGTCTGGAGGAATGAACCCAGAGTGGAACATAAAGGTGACATGTTGCCCTCCAGAAACGTATCTCTGCAGTACTTTGCAGCAATGGATTTCTGTTTTTAATAAAAGATGTCTGCCTTCACCTATAGCGGAAAAAGATTGATCAGCCAAGTATTGAACACAAGTGGAAAATTAATGGTTCAAAAAGGAAACCTTGCATATTAAATCTATGTTGTGAATGTTGGATTGACGAAACGTCAGTGGCATAAATGCAGATGTTGAGGTAATTTGGTGGAAATGATTTGAATTAATGATAGTTTGACAATGTTCTGCCTTGATGTATTGTATGTAAAAGACAAAATAATGTCTGGTGAGGTAAAAGGGGTCCAGAGCTTTGACTTTTCTCAGTTTATTGTTCAAAGGCTTCATGTCAACTGCTCAGATGGTCTTTAGGCAAAACAATCAGCTTTAACTGATCAAGCTTTCAGTGGAAATTCTCGACTCCACTCAATTTCTCTAAACTAAAGCATTATGAGAGTATTAGGGTCACTGTAGATTAAAACATATTAATATGGCCACAGAGCAGTTAAATTTCCATATTTACTAGAAACATGATGGAAGAGCGGTAAAAGGTTAAATTAAAATTAAAATTCAGAATTTAAATGGAAAACCTCAGACATTTACCAAGGGTTAGGGACCTCATCCGACTTTAGACCCTCTCTAAAAACTCTTATGATTACTTATTGTCATAGTTCAATCTCCAAATATACCTTAATATGCATTAATGGGCAAAGTGGAAACCGCTAATGCTAATATTCACGGTCTTCAAGGTACAGCCTGTTAGTGCTAACGGAAATGAATGGCGGCATTGATTGGCGGCTTTGCAACAGCAGCATCAAAAACAAAATCCATAAAAACTGAAGTTTGAATAGGAGGGTCCAGTCTATAAGAGTTTTTATTCTCCGTGGCCACATTTCTTTATTTTATCATATACAATGGTCCTAATAGTCGGCAAACTGCAGACCAATGTCAATATTATAACCTCCATGTTCAAAGTGATGACTCTGTGGTTGGAGGCATTCGATAGATTTGGATTGATTCCTCTGCCTTGGACCACTTTTAACTTGTTGAACATTGTTTGTACATATGGATTGTTTTGATTATGGAATGTTTATTTCTCCCATTAGATTGAATCCTTTAAAAATCTTCAACAATAGATTCATCATTATAAACAGCTGCTTGTCTGACTGTCTGACTGGTGGAATGGGACTTTGACCCACAGCATCGTCTCTGTGTGCGGTTGTGTGTCACACAGAGGAATGAAAATCTCTATAAATCTATCTTATATATTTCTGAGAACATTTCTAACATTTCCGGGTAAAATCAACATTTCAAATCACTGACGTATGTCTCTGCTGTGAAGAGAAGGCGGGGCTTCTAGAATGTTCAGATTTGGGTTTTTGTTAATGTCCACGGTTCTAGAGCGCGTTTAGAGTTCTATCTTAGAGTTTTGATGTCAACCTGTAGTATTTCACACATCATTTCATGTTGAAACAATACCTCAGTGTTGGAGAAGCATGCTCTTGTTATCGCCGTGTGCTTCCATTCAGGCTTTTAGAAGTCATGCTGCCTTCTGTTGAAATATTTAGGATGCACCAAATGTGGACCATTCAGGGACAGTACGCTGCAGAATGTCCTGAGCATAGCCCAAAACTTGGTCTAATGGTTTAAAGCAGTGACATTTCAAAAACAATGTTTTCCAAAGTGAAGATTTTAAAGGGATTTAAAGGAGACAACACCATCAATACTTGTGTTATGCATGCAAAAACTACAGCAGTTTATTGGGTTTTGTTTTCCTTTCTGTGAGATTGTAGATAATGTCCTGAAAAGGTTGACTACTGACAGGAAATTATATTTTGCTGACAGTCGTCATCTAGCAACATATCCAAACTCCTAAAACTACTGACCAATTCATTGAGTCACTATTTTTGCAAAATTGCATAATAAACATATTTTTCTTGTATACCTTAATATACTGGCTGAACACTGTATCAGTCAACAATCATGATAAATTATCAATATATTCACACTTCCTACATTGATTTTTTAAATGCCCATCCAATTTTACTGCAGATTGTAGAGGTCAGTTCCTCTCAATGGTCTTAATTTTTAATGTCTCTTGAGACACTGTCTCATTAGCACAGAGAAAAACAATACAGGTGCTGAAGACTCAGTGAATATCTTCCAAGGCTTTTACAACAAGTCAAAAACCAGTCAGCTGCCATTTAAAATATGTCAGCACTCAGATAAAACATTTAAACATTGGCATACCTTTCAGTGGTTTACACAATATCTTCATAAATCAAAATTAGGAAGTTATTCTTTAAATCATATCCAGGCTTGACGATCCCACTGACAAATGACTTTCATTCATTATTTGCTATTTAATTGCTTCTCTATCTTGCAGTTTGATTGTTGTTTATCTTGCAGTTTGATTGTTTGTTTATCTTGCAGTTTGTTTTGTTTATCTTGCAGTTTGTTTTGTTTATCTTGCAGTTTGTTTGTTTATCTTGCAGTTTGATTGTTTTTTTTATCTTGCAGTTTGATTGTTTGTTTATCTTGCAGTTTGATTGTTTGTTTCCACCATGTGCTTTGACCTTCTTAAGTGCCCGCATTGTTTTTATACATTTCATCAAGTTGTCTGAATCAAAATGCGATTGCCTTTCATTGGTTGGAATAATTGTGTAGTCTTATCTATTTATATTTATTTAATTTTTAAAATAAAATTGTCACATCTTAAAGGAATAACGCAAAAGTTAGCCAGTTTGAAAACAATGACCATTGCACCTCATGGTTAACTAGATAGCTAAAACTAGCTTCTACCATGCTAGCTTTAGCTATTTGGTTAAAAGTAGCTAATTAACATGGCAAACCAGCTAGTTAAAACTAGGTAGCTATCTAGTACTAGCTAGTTAACTATGGGTTAACACTTACTACAGCTCACTGGATAGAATCCATGTTGTCAAGCTTTTAACTCGTTCAGTCTGTTTTAAATGCTAACTAGCTAGACTGAATGCTAACTCGCTCGCGGCTCTTCAGTTCACTCACTAGATCTACTGTAGCCATCCAACAGTTGCATGTTTATCAGAATAAATAGATTCAAACTATAGTTCTCATCAATCTGTTGTTTCTTTTTCTATTTGTGCTGATTGTCAGTTTGTATGACTGGATTTTCTGATTGTCAGCTAACAAAGTGCTGCTACGTCTGAGAGGTTTTTTGTCTCTCATTGAGCTGGAATGAGTTTTTTTCTTGCCAGTGGAGTTAAAATTAGGCTGTTTCCTAATTTAAACCTTGTTTGCTGGATATTTAGCCTCATTATGTGTAAATAATGAAAGTTTAGAATTTCTTTCACCTCTTGATTTGAAATGTCCTATAAAATGAATCAGGTCCGTTTACGTTTGATAACATCATAAAAGTGATTGTTTAATTTCACAATGAAAGCCTGGACTGTAACCAGCTTCATGTACTGTTATTGCTTGCTCTTACTGTGTCTGTCATGTCTGTTCATGTTTAAGGCCCATCTCTGGATATTCACACACACTGAAATAAAACATTGGTTCCTCTTGGCGCCTCTTGTTTTGGTTTATTTTATAAAGAACAAATAATTTCAAGGGAAATGTTTATTTTTTTTTTCTTTTTACTATTTTCTTCTTTTCTTTGAATACCAAATGTTTCACATACATATAACATTAAGATGAAAAGAGATTCAGAACTTGAACAACAAATATCAGTGTTAGATATTTATGCATCTCTTCAGTCCATATTCATGTATATATGGATATTTACTAAGGAGTTCATCCAATGGTTCTTCAAACACATGTTCTTGCTCTTGATCATTTGCCAACAGAAATGTGATCTTCGCAGCCTCTCATTCAGATTTTCATTGGACCTCCAGAAAAACAACTCTCCTGTAGTCAAAGGTCCAAAACAGATCCTCTAATATCACCGAGAAAAGTCAAGGTAAAAACCCACAAATGAACAATATAATCACAACAATGCAAATGTAAACAAACGTATCGGTCTATGAAAGGTGATGTTATATTTGTTAATATCAGATATCAATACACAAGATTTATTTTCCATTTGCATATTCAAAAGCTACAGCATGCAAACGCAAAACATATCTGAGACAGACCTATTGTTCTGCTTTGCATGTTTCATAAACAGCACAACATAAATGGATCTGGAACAAAGGAGAGGAGGAATAATTTCTCATTTTCATAGTCATCAATTATCTCAGTTTACTAAAAGGTCAAATGTTTTCTCACTTCCTGTCAGTGACTTCAGGTTGACAGAAAAACTCACCAAAGAGACAAATGTTGAATACTTTATTCAAATATTATTGCATTTGGAATAAAGTATTCCAATGTAATGAATGAACCCGAACAGGACAAGTTTTCTGTCTTTTTGAGATGATCTCAAACAGTTCTGGCCCTTAAACATGAAGTGAGACCTGCTATAATAACCTCCTGGCTTTGTGTAGGTAAAGGAGAAGTGACACTGCAGAGCAAGGCAGACCAAGCCAGTTGATGCCTGCCATCACCAAACACTCAACCCTCCGGCTCACCAGAGCGGAGCTTTTCAAAGAGTGACAAGCCAGGAGGCCGACAAACCAGAGCCACACCACACCGGAGATGACTGTGATGGACCAGAAATCTCTGCGCCTTGAATGGTCCATTCTGTCTCTGTCCCCGCCCCTTTCTCTTGGTCCTGGACGAATCAGAATGCAGAGAACGGAGACGCTGCAGAACGTTATGACCGGGATGGAGACAGCAAAGGAACAGAAAACAATAATGGCTGAATGGTGTGATAGTAAACTTGTACGCATGGTTGTCAATCCAAAGCAGAGCAGCCAGGCGCATCCGATGCTAATGTTTCTGATTCTGATCCCGCTACAGGTTTTTAGTCTACGGTAGGTGAGGGGGTGAACTACGGCCAAGTATCGATCTACACGTTAGCAGGTTAAAGATCAACTCACCATAGAATGGTGTGTGACAAAGATGCATTCCTACTGTCAAGATCAGTGTGTGATTTGAATATAAGCCAGGAATAAAGAAGAAACACCCAAAGACCCAGATGAGCTCCATGGCAGCCAGGTGGTAGCTGAAGATGTCAGAGTGGCTCGCTGCGTTCAGCGAACGCTTCTGCCGCCATTTCTGGTGACCATGATGGAGGACGAAGGAGGACAGAGGAAGGAGGAGGAGGATTTTAATCAGATGGTTGCCTGTAGAGAGAAGATGGAGCTGATAGACAGTGCAGCTGTAGACGTTGGTATCCCAGGAGGTGTTAGCCAACATGTCTGCCACTTTTATCTGATCAGACCTGATGAGAAAAATCAGGACAGAGAAAGCAAAACATCTTTATCACAAAACACAACCTTACAGGTAATACGGTTAACTGGCAAACCCAAACAAGTGACATCATTCTGAAGTCAAAGAAAAGTATTAATTAGCAGGTTTTAAATGAAAATGCCCAAGTTCAACTCTCACCTAGTTGGGGGTATTCAGTTCTTTCTGGATCTTCGTTAATGCCTGAGCTTTTCTCCCAGACAGCAGCAGCGCTTCTGGTTCTGTTAGGCTGGAAATGATGC